CCCTCGAAGCGGCCCCGCCCTACGTCGCGGCCCCGCCCCTCGTCGCGGCCCCGCCCCGACCGTCGCGGTCCCGCCCCTTGTCGCGGCCCCGCCCTCCAACCAGGCCCGTGGTGGGCCCCTTTCACCACACCGCCCCCCCCCCCCCCCCCCCCCCCCCCCTTCCCCCTGCCATTTCGGGTATGAGGGGCGAGCTGTGGGGTGGCGGGTATGGGGGTGCTCGGTGTGCCTTTCTCCCTTTGCTCCTCCTCCTCCTTCGTCTCCCACTGCTGCAGCTGTCGCTGAGGGGGGTGGTTGTGTGGGAGACTGGGGTTTCGGGTTTAAGGGGGGGTGCGTGGGAGTAGAGCTAGCGGTGTAGCAATGGGTGTGTATCAGGGGGGTGGGACTGTTTGCGGGATGTTTAGCGGAGGCTGCCGGCTTGTCGTCCGCAGCACCTGTAGTCCGGGGCGCTGTCCCGGTAGCCCAGTCGTAGCCAGCTGTGCCAGCCGCCCGTGGGTCCGTTGCCCGTCCGCCGCTATTTGAGCCGCGGGGCCTGTTACTCCTGTAGTCCGGGCGCTGTCCGGTAGCCGCTGTGCCAGTCTGCCTCCTGTTGCCCGTGTGTCTGCAGCTTCAGCCGTCGCCTCCTGTCTCCTCTCCCCTCACTCTCCCTCCTCCTCCTCACTTGCCCGTTGTGACTACCACTAGCTTTGCTTATAATTGTGAACTCTAAACTATTTCTTCTTGAACTTGTGCTCAGAATGTGTGGTGACATTGTGATCCACCCTGAGCTTGTTCTGCTTTGCTTGCTCTGCTGATTACACCCCACTTTGGCTATGGGTGTGTGTCAGAAATATTGTTCTCAATTTTGTCAGGATGAAGTTGGAATGGTGGAGTAGCAGAGCCCGACGCTGGGCGTGGAAACGAAGAATTGAAGAGCTCACTGAAGATCTAATAGATTCTCAGCCGTTGGTTTGCGTGAGTACTGAGCCAACTGGCTCGCGATGTAGGAGAGGTCGGGCCTGAAGGTGACAGATGCTAAGGGCAGGCATCCCAACTGCTGCTGGTAAGTGTGAAGCCCAGCAAGGGACAGGGCTTTGTTGTCAGGCTTGTGGTTGGGTCCTGGAGTGCGGTAAGGGGTGGAGAGTGGTGCAGGCGCAATGTTGAAGCGCTTGCTAAGCTCCTCCGCATACTTCGCTGCTGAGAGATGAATGGCTTCCGGCGAGTAGGTGATGTTGAGTCCAAGAAACTGCTTCACGTCGTGATTGCAGGTGATGTCGACGCGCCCTGCGAGGCTTTTCTCAAACTGCTCGAGCAGTTCGTTGCTGGAGCGTGTGTAGAGAAGGTCGTCGGCGTAGACCGTGAGGAGGATGTATTCGCCGCGGAAATCACGGCGATACATTTCAGGATCGTGAGGCAGCTGCTTGAACCCGATTTCAAACAGTATGTTGTGCAGGTACTGCTGCCAGAGTCTCGGTGCCTCTTTGATCCCATAGAGGGACTTGCGTAGCTGACACGCGCGTGGGTCTCCGTCGCCGTAAGTGTGTGGCTGTTCCACGTGTCAGAATGTAATTCTATACATTACTTTATAGCTGCCTGCAATGTAGACTTAGTGTAGTTATCTTACTTGTTAGGTGGTGCACCTTTCTTCTCTTCTTTCATATTTGTACCCTTGAGCCTATTGTGAAACCATCTTTTTGCCTTGACAATTATCTCGATACTTTCCTCTCTAGTGCAAACCCTAATGCCTTCTACTAGTTAACTACCTAGTGTGACATGGTATCAGAGCGAGGTTTCTCCTAGGACCTGTCTCATAGGGCTCACCACCACACTTCCGCTCATGGGCCTCTCTGCTGCCCGTCGCACGCCCGGGGCGCGCGTCAGTTTTATGCCCGCCGCGCGTCGATTTTCTGCTCGTCGCGCACCTCGGGTGTGCAGGGATTTCACGCGACGGCTTCTGCCCTGCCGCGCGCGGCCCGTACGACCCACGCGCTGTCTATGCAGCCCGTGCTGTCAAATGAACTAGAGAGCGGTAGGCTCGGGAGCCATGGCTTAGGAGCCTTGATTGAGTTCGAGTTAGGAGAGTCGAGAAAGTTGAAACAAAAGAGGAGGGGTTTCACTATAGAGCGAGCAGTACATATAGGCAAGATGAAAGGTGCACCACCAAAACAGAACATTATATAACTACACTAGTCTACACTACAGGCAATTACAAAACAATATATAGATTTATATATTATTCTGACACGCCCCCATAAGTGCCTGTAGGGAAGAATATGCAGTCAACGCCCCCATAATGGGGTACACCAGACAGGCCGCAGTGGAAATCATAGCAACAGGCAAGTGCAGTGACAACATGTGCAGTGATGGCAGATCCAGCTGTACCAACCCCTTTACCAAGGTAAAAACAGTAGGAGGTGTTGGGGCGGCAGGTCGCCTGAGGAGCAGGCTCTGTGGCTGCAACATGCAGCAGGACAGCAGCGGCTCGACGGCAGCACCTGCAGGCCCCAGCAGAAGGTAGCAAACACAAGTTCAACAAAAGGAAGGTGGTAGCAGGGGCGGCAGCTGGAGGTGCCACGGCAGCAGCGGGTGTCAGCAACAGATAACCGGCTGACTTCCGTCGCCCCCTCACTCCCCCCCCACAGCGGCACGTGCGGCAGTGAGAGAGAGAGAGGAGGGGCGGCAGCTTCTTGCTCACACCCGCCTCCCCAAAAACCTCCCCCCCACACTGCCGCACGCGCAGTAGGGGGAGAGAGGAGCGTCAGCCACCCTTGCGCCTCTCCCTCCCCCCCCCCCCCCCGCCACACCTGCGTCCACAGCGGAAGACACTGCAGCGTGCGCGGGTGGCGTTGGTGAGATCTCGGGTAGGGGGGGGGGGGGGAGTAACGGGGGGGGTGCAACAGGTGCCGCGACGAGCGCCTGCGCACAGCTCGCCGTCGCTTGCGCGGCAGCTGCAGTGGGAGCAGCCGCATTTTCAACGGGAGGGCGGGGCAGGGGGCACGTTCGACGACTGAAGTAGCTCGGCCACCACACCCGCCGTCTCCCCCCAAAGCGACTGCGATGCAGACGTTCGGGGCCGCGACAGGGCGTGACGAGGTTGCAGGAGGGCGCGATGGGCAGATCCTCCAGATCCTCCGGCCATTCTTACACGCGATCGTGTGCCGGGCGCCACTTTCCGAATTTTGTATATTTCGGAGGTGGCTGTGCGAAGGATTCCTGAGTCGCTCTCATACCATGTTGCGATCAGAAGTGATCGTTCTCACGATCACCTCAGGAAGGTTCGCACAGCTCTAGTCTAGTGGTGGTGGGCCCTTGACCTCGATAGCAGAGTGAATGTAAATGCTTGTGATGATTAACAACATGCAGTACAAGGAATATAAATATGAGTACAGGGGAATTCGAAACGACCTAGCTAGCCATGTACTCTAAGGGGTACATTCCCTTATTACAGCGAAATCCAACCGTGCCACTCCGGGTGGTTACATAACTATTCGGGCAGAATCCTCGCCACTGCTGCTGCCTGATGCTGTCTGCCCGACGGTCCAGATGCTTTTCGTAACCGTGTGACTGTTCGCGTCACTTGCGCCCTTTCATCCTCATTCCCGGTAGTGCGTGCTTTGGTTGCTGCGGAGAGGAGTGTACAGTAGTGTTTCGATAACCACTATTCGTAACAATATGAACTGATTTTTAGTACCGTAAATAACTAAGAATCGGTATGGCAAGCAGACAGAACCAGCTCTGGTACACATTATTCCATGTTCGGTAAAACAACTCTTACCGTTAAAACTTCTTCTGTAGCAGAACCCTCGATCTATCGCCGATTCTGGCCTTCGTGGTGCTTAGCGCGTTCACCAACGCGTCCGTCGCCCTGCCCGCGGAAATGCCCGAGGGGGGGGCTCTGGGGAAGGATCTGGAGGGGCAAAGGGGCGGAATGCTGGGCGGCAGGCGCAGGCGGCCTGTGAGGCTGACGCGGGAGCAGAGGGAGAAGATGCGCGCAGCATCGAGAGCAACTGAGCAGGGCCAGGAGGCGTAGGGAGCCAGGGAAGCTGGTTGTTCCTGGGATGGCGGATTACTGCTGTCCTTCCACTGGCTGGTCATTCTGAAGCTCAAGTTGAGATATATGGTGTCAAGCCTGAGAACTGAGGCAGGGAATGGCGAGCTTGTGTGGAGCAGATGAGCAGGTGGGGAGGAGGTGTGCTGGTGATGATGCCTAGAATGGTTTTGTGCTGCTGATGTACATTTGTTGCTGCGTGACAGGAGAAGAGAAGAGAACATGTGTGTGTCAAAAATATATTCTTATACCTGCATGTAGTTCTAGCTGTGGTGTAGATATTAACTTTATAGGTGGTGCACCTCTTTGATTGCTATATGTACCCTAGTGCTATAATGAACATTCATTCTCCTCTCATTCTCCTCTCCCTCCTTGGCACAAACTTCCTCGATCCTCCTTGGGCCTTGGCTCCTAAGCCTAGGCCCTAGCTAAACCTAGTATCTAACTACGTTCTTATCTCAACAGTGTGGGGTAGAGCGAGCAGCGTGGCTTGAGTATGGGATCCGTGCTTGTGATGGCAGGCTGTTGGGATTGCATCACAGTCAATGTTGATCCATCCAATTGGTGTTTATGACATTTTTCAGTTTTGTTGATTGTTTCGAGTCTGTTGATGCTTAACCTACGGTACCGTACCTACCGTGGGAAACTTTACCACTAATGAACTTAAACTGTGCCCTTGCTTCTAAATCAAAACTACCTGATGAGTTGCTTGGAACGGAATGAAGTGAGCACAACAGACACATTGCATCATGGTGATCCTGTCTTAGCTAGCGGACCAGTCAGCACGGCAACCCAATGTGCTCATGGACCCAATCTCCAATCTCTGATCCGAAGCCGCCCATGGTACGGCGAGAAACATAAGGAAATTCCATGCAGTACCGGTATCACAAGCTCCTGACTGAATGATGGAGTGACCGCTAGGTATGTTACTGTTTACGAGTAAGAACCACAGCATAAAAAAAACAACTCTCTACCATTAAAACTTCTTCTGCAACAGTACCCTGTTATCCTTGAAGCACACCACACAGCGGGTCCTCTTGAGCACATCCATGCCCACCACTGCCCCCGCTCCCATCACTGCCAGGGCTGGCAGGTCCCCCACTATCATGGGGTGGCTTGTAAAGGGGATACGGCCGCCTGACGTCCCTGTGGGTCCTCCTTGCTTTGTTATAAGGAACAGATCGGCGACTGCTCCTCCCATTTGTGTTGTTCCACCTCCCACGTCCACCATCGATGCCACACCCTGGGAAAGAGGAACAAAGGGAGAGGAAGGGAGTGGGGGGGAACATGGAAGAAATTAAAAAGTGACGTTGGGATGTGGAATTTCCTGTCAATTTTCAATGATGGGCAATCTCTCATGGTGACATTGGTGGCCTATGCTAGTATTATGGTTATTTCAGTTATGTTGGTTGTATGGGTTGCACAATGCTCGTTAGTTATACGTACGGTTTTTTGTAAGGTTTCTGAAAAGGTTCTTACAGTGGTTGTTACTATTTTTATAAGTTTTTTGCAAGGTTTGTACCAGGCTGGTTGTTATCGGTAACAGCCATCTTACAATGCTGGAAGGGGTGACACCGGCACGGGAAGCCACTGCAGTGGTGATGAGGCTGAGCCCAGACCCCATGTCCAGAATCGCTGTCTCTAAAGGTTTGCCATTCACCGAGATCTAGGTGCGAGAGGCAAGGGGTGGGGATGGGGGTGATGGAAGAGACGAGAGTTATGTTAGGGAAGCAGGGAGGAATAGGAGGAAGAGATGAGGGAGAGAAAGGAAAACCACGAGGCCGAGTCCAGACCCCATGTCAAGAATCGTTGTTTCCAGGTGTTTGCCAATCACCGAGATTTGTATGAGAATGGTGAGGGTTGGGGACGAGTAAGACGAAAGTGACGAGGGTTATGCAAGAGAAGTGAGGAGGAATGGGAAGAGGAGACGAGGAAGAGAAAGGTTAAGGACGAGGCTGAGGCCAGAGACCCCATGTCAAGAATCGCTGTCTGCAGGTGTCAGCTGTTCACGGAGACCTGTGTGAGAGAGGAGACGGATGAGAGAGATGAGAGTGACAAGGGATGACAACTGATGATCCCCATGATTCCGGTTCTGGTTGGGAGATGAGAGGTAGGAGGTGGGAGATCAGAGATGGGGGGTGAGAGATGGGAGGGGAGAGTTGGGGGGTGAAGAGATGGAGGGTGAAGAGATGGGGGGTGAAGAGATGGGGGGTGAGAGATGTGAGGGGAGAGATAGGAGCGCAAATATAGGAGGGGAGAGATAGGAGGGGAGAGATAGGAGGGGAGAGATAGGAGGGGAGAGATAGGAGGGGAGATATAGGAGGGGAGATAAAGGAGGGGAGATATAGGAGGGGAGATATAGGAGGGGCGATATAGGAGGGGAGATATAGGAGGGGAGATATTGGAGGGGCGATATAGGAGGGGAGATATAGGAGGGGAGATACAGGAGGGGAGATAAAGTAGCGGAGATATAGGAGGGGCGATATAGGAGGGGCGATATAGGAGGGGAGATATAGGAGGGGAGATATGAGGATGGTAGTGGAGATACAGCCAGCCCTCCCACAGCAGCACACCTGTTTGGAGGGTCTCAAACATAGACGGATCCAGCTCAATCAAAAGCAGAGCATTCTAAGGTAGATGACAGTTCAACCTATATAGCTGGGTAGGTTGAAAGGGACAGTGGCTGGTGCAAGCATTGCCAGTCATGGTAGCAACGGCAGCAGCAGCAGAGGGGAGACAGGGGGCCGTGCCTCCTGCTGCAGCGGGCTCGATCAAACTTGGCTGAATGTCACTCAGAGGCAGACGAATCTTGTGCATGAGATACCACGGCTCACTCAAACACATTCTCACTTCCAAAGCATCTCACCTGGACAGCGGGTAGGTTGAAGGGAACAGTGGCTGGGGCGAGCATGGCCAGCCCCTCGAAATCCAACCCCTGAGAGGTGGCAGCAGCAGAGCGCGGAGGGGGGATGGTGCCTCCCGCTGTCCACTTGCCTGCTGCTGCCAGTGCAGCTCCTGGGAGGATTGGAGCAAGTGAGAGAACGGACGTGAGGGATGGATGGAGGGAGTGAGGGATAGAGCGAGTGAGGGATAGCGAGTGAGGGATAGAGGGGGAATGGTGAGGGATGATGGCAATTGCGAGGGACGATGAGGGAATATGAAGCAGGAACGGAGCATCGTTGATGGAGGGGGGGAGGGGGTGGGGAGGGGGTGGGGAGGCGTTATACGCAAAAGACATATGAGTGCATGATGGTGAGAGTGCTGCTCTCACCTGAGTGCATGATGGTGAGAGTGCTGCTGGGGAAGTCAAAGTCCATGTCAAAGGCAGACAGGAACGACAGCCCCACGATCCCCGCCACCGATCCAGGCAGGCCCGTGTACTGCAGGTTCAGCACCACCGCTTGCATCGGCCCGAACCTAAACTTCCCGAGCCTCACGTCCGGCAGCAGCAGCTCCCGCCCCTGCTTCCCCTCCGGCCCCATGCCTCCGAGCCCCTGGGTCATCCTGCCCTCGTTAGTAGACAACCCGATAGTGCCATAAGCAAAATCCGGGGAGACGAGGGTGGTGCTGCTGCCGGTGTCCAGGAGGAAATCAAAGGGGCCCTTCCCGGCAACTTCTAAAGGCAGGATAACGTATTCCCGTGGCTCTCTGGCGGTAGTGGCGAGGCGACGCATGGGCATGCGCAGGATGACGCCTTGGGAGGAAGAAGGGGAGGATGGGGAGGGGGACGACGAGGAGGAGGGAGGTGGAGAGGCCTCTGCGTTTCTGCTGTTGCTACAGCTACTGCTGCTGCTGCTGCTGCTGCTGCTGCTGCTGCTGCTGCTGCTGCTGCTGCTGCTGGATTGTGGAGAAGGAGCAGAGGGTGGAGCTGAGAGGCGATGGGCAACGAGCAAGGAGACCAGCTGGTCCTTGTCAAACACTCCCCGCGTGCTGATGCCTGGTGGATGTGGGTGCAAGAAACGACACGCAAAACGGAATTGTGTACACTAATTGATGCCAGCAGAAAGCAAGGAGAGCAGCTGTCATTGTCAAACACTCCCTGCGTGCTGATGCCTAGAGTGTCATGGCAACAAGCGATGATGGAGAACAGCGCGGCTGTTACAAGGTCAATTTTGTCCGAATTCGATATAGGATGTTGGGAATCGAGTGCTGTGCTGTGCTGTGCTGCTGTGTGTTGTGCTCTGTGCCTGTTGCCTGCATGCGTGGATACTGTATGTTCCCTGACCTAAATCACTTCCATACTCAACACTCCAGAAGCCTGTTTATACCCGTCAAAGCCTTTTCCATATCCGCACAGAGGTACAGGCCTTACCAGGGTTACCACATAATATACCTTGTTCGGCGTACCTAGACGGTCATACCCAGGCTCTCGAGCTCCTTCTTGATCTCCCGCGCTCGCATCGCCTCCACCGCTGCCTGCACAGCTGCGGCTGTAGCGACTGTAGCGGTCTCTCCTGCTCCGTCTTCCTGGGCCCTACTCTTGACACCTCGCCTTCTCTTGCCATTGCCTGAAAGTTTTGTAAAGGAGGTGGCAGTTACAGAATGGTAGTACGCTTGCGAGCCTCGCACACTTGGTAATGTCGCCGTAAGCGACTTCGCCGGCCATCGTAACCGCGAAATCTGAGGCGTCTGGCGTTGCGCCCCCACGGTTGTCGATAGCCGTGGCTCTGAAGCCGGGAAAGGAATCGTGGCAATGCAGCGGCTTCTTGACGGACACAACACGAGATCCACGCTCGGGCTACATATGTGGAGAGTCGCCATTCTCTCTCAAGCTACCTCGGAACTTTAAGGACAGTCCAAAGTGGGTCGCTTAGTCCCTCATCAGTCATTCAAATTCATGCCGCTGTGCGACAGTTCGCTTTATGGTAAGAGTCTACTACGGCATTTCCATGCTTTCACTGCGTCGTAGTAGATTGCACTATTGCAACTACACTACATCACAATCTAGGATGGCTAAGTCAATGTCAGTATTGACACAGGCTCCGCACACAAGGCACCAGACAGTTTTCAAGCATTCGATATACCTAGGAGGTCTATTTGTCCAAATTCGCGCTCAGCGTTGACTGCTTCAGAAAGGCAGCTTGCCTAGGGCATCAGCACAGCACCCCAACAACTGCAACCCCTTGCAAAACTGGCAATTGCTGCTAATAACTAATCCACTGCCCAATATTATGGCTGCTGAGGTGCTTGCTCAAGCAAAGCTTGATTTGCCAGCTCAGGCGCCAAGATTTCTTGCAGTTGGTTCCAAACAGACTCCACTTGGTGGACGAACTCTGAGAAGACGGAAATGCCAACAACACAGCACAGTTGAGAAAACAAGATGATGATTATGTTCCAAAAAAATAACAAGCAAGCACAGAGATGCATTAGTTGGATTTCTATCGGTGAGGGAGGACTTGCCTTGAAATGTTGGGTCCAAAATACACGCCTGCAGCGAACTCATATTATATTGGGAGGTGTTAGCAAGTTGAACAGCAGAGCCTGGATTTCCAGCCTACCTGAAGTTGAATGGAAAGTGGAGGCGCCTCTTCAACTGCATGCAAGACAAAGGTGAGATTAGCAAAGAAAACTTATGCACAGCTACATTCAGAAAGACCTTTAATGCTAAAACTCAAACCTGCACTCTGAGGTTGGCTCGGCTGAGTCACGCAGCTATGTAGCTTCGCTTCTTTCTCGTCGTTCATCAATCCCTGTAAGGACCGAAAGGAAAGTGACATGTTTCAATAAAAATATCGAGTACGTCATGCTTTCTATATAAATCACGTACCTGAATAGCGGCTGAGAAGGACTGAGCAGCAGCAGCGGTCTCGAATCTCATCATAAACTTCTGCGTCTGAGGTAAGTTGAGCGTTTTCTGAGATAGGCTTGTCACATGAGAGTACACGTTTCTTACCTGTGATGGAGAATCTGCTGTGGTATAGCACGCTACGACAACTCTAGAGGGTATAGCCTCGGCAGAAGCTTGTGGCCGACAAATCGGTTGGAAAAAGTGAACTCGTAACACGTAATGTTGCTCCTGAAAGATGGTCACAACGTCAGATTTTTTGCCTCAAACAATTTCAACACCGACGCACGGCGAATCGTGGAAAGTTTTCTCACGTAAGTGACTCCACAGATCAAGGAAATCGTGGAGAGCTTGGGATCAGCACGTTTGATGAGCGTGACCGTAACAAGGTCTCTGCTCTTTAACCAGTGTCCTCGAGTTGGTCTGCCTTTCAGGCCAGAAAACTTCCGGACGGCTGCCTGCAGGAAAGCCGTCTGCGTTGCAACGAACTTACTCAAATGGACTTGCCAGGACAGCGAACCCAGCTCCTCGTCTGGTCGCATTCCGGCCATCTGTATGGTATCGTGAAGAATGGAGGAGCAATAACTGCGTTTTCGTGCACTAATCTAGACTCTGTTCCTGCCTCTGACAGAAGGCTGAACGAGCTTGGGCGTGCCACACTAGGAAAATCGGCTCTCCTGCCGCTCTGAAATGGATTGTGAAACCCACGACCTGCTGCTTCTGAGAGGGTGTCTCAGATGTCTGAGTCCACGTGGGTCCGGCTCGGACCTGACGGACCAGCTCAAGAACCAGCGCGTGAACCAGGGCGGACCGGGACCAGGTTGCGGGGCTTGTAACCCCGCTATACCGTTCGAATGGCACTAAAACGGTGCCATTTATTTGGCCCTCCAGACCAGCCCGCGCCTGGTCCGTAAACAGTGGGTGATGAAACATTTTTTTTGGTGTAATTTCTTGTTTTGTAAGTTTCGCGTGAGATTTTTGTGCAGACGAAAAAAATGGGTAACTCAATTTCAAATTCGTCGCTACTGCTGCATCTCGCAAATACTGTGAATCCCGAAGCGCGACGCATCTGGCAGACCAGTCCGTGTCTGGTCCAACTCTGGTCCGCCAAGTGGGTCCGTCGGACCAGAACCCCGGACCAGGCGTTTAGATTCTGGTCGCGGACCAGATCCAGCGGACCCTTCACATGAGACACGTCCTGAAGCTTGGTGGACTCAGCAGTCAACGATCGAGGGCGCGGTTCGTGGAGCGCAAATCCCAAAGTTTGCTTTCTAAGTTGTATGAAGTTCGATTCCGTAGTCCGAAGATTATTGGAGGTTTTAATCAGTCAAAACGTTACATCGATGGCTGAGAAATAATTCGACCTTCGCCGATCCGCAACTCGACCAAATGGGTTACTTTGCGCAGCTAACTTGGCTCTGGCATCATTCCCGAAGAATTTAGTGTAGTTGTCGATGGACCGCTGATTTCGTCGAGCTGCCGAGCTTGGCCGAAAGTGACCGCGTTCTATTGTTCGTACGAGTGCCAATTCGAACGAGGTTTGAATTGTCAGATTGGTAACTTGACCATCCAAGTCGAGCCTTCTGCACAAGCACTACGGGATGGGTTTTCCTCGAAGGGGTCAACCCTCCCACGGCCTCGACGAAGTTTGCTGCTAATGACAAAACGGTTTTGCCAACAGCCCATGTTTTTTCCGTTCACCGTGCCCATTCTGCCCAGGATGCTCAAAATGTTTCATCCCAACCACTCATGAATCTTCAACATTTGGGTTCACCCTTGCCTCTCGTTTGGTATGTTTTTGTGGTGAGTTATTTCAACAACAAAGTTTCCCAAAATCGGGCGTTCAGATCTGCCCGTTTTGCTTGTGCGCCCCCTTATTCTACCTCGGATGGGCGGATAGGGTTCGCACGAGCGGTGCCTCCAGTTTGCCCGTAACGGAAGTTTCCCAGTAAGGTCCGAACGTACTAGTCGTGATGCGTTCTTGAATCCTTGGGCGCACAAGAAATGCTACCAGATTCGGCATGGGAGGCTCGACAAGGGTTTTAAGCTCTATCGTGCGCTTTCCAGGAATATTCCTCAGGGGGCCCAAGAACCTCGAATGCGGCAACAGAACGATCCCTAGAATCCCTCGGCACTCAATAAGATGATCGAAAGCATATGCTATAAGATATACCTAGAAGTAGATACGTCATAACGCTCTCAAGTATATTAAAGCTGTTAATACTACCCTTCAAATTTACAGGAATAAATGAGGCAAAATGCTGAACCCATGGCTAAATCTCCACTACCGTGATGTACCTAGAAGCCAGCATGCGTCTTCATGAACTCCAATTCCGTAGGTGTGCTCCCCCTTCCCAATACATCATTTCGGTGCGGATACCGACCGAATTTGACAATAATATCCCGGTGCTTGTGCGCAAAATCCAAACCACCTTTAAAAAATCCCTTCACGGGACCTCA